GAGATACGTGGGGGTCCTCGGAAGAATTACATCTATAGGCACGTTTTCTTACCAATCACAGAAGACACATGAGAAACCATAGTAGGAGTTACTTGTAGCAAAGACGTACATAAATATATACGTCTTCGCTTGTAGACATTATTTTTAAAGACAAAATTACGAATTTGGTTTAGTTTTTGACTCGGCCAGCAATCTGGGCTTCACGCTGAGGGAACACTAATATATTAGACACCGTATATCAGACATAATACTCGTCTGTAAATACAGACCATGAAACCAATTTATCCAATACAGCTATGCACGTCTATTATAGTTTGTGGGTGTCTTGATTACTGCAGTCATGTTCAGGAAAATGAAGATCTTAGGGTCATTTATTAAGAAATTTTAACAACTGTTTTCTTTTCTGTGAATATTTTCATTTCAGAGACTACATGAAAGACTATTATAATACCAATTAAATGTTAACGACAATATCTCCAATTACACGGTATCTCTGATTCTCTGTTACCATGACAATGGGCCTCCTCCTTCACCGCTTGTGGATGTGTTTGAAAAATGTTCAGGCTGATTAACACAAGGCGCTCTGGCAAGCAGTCAAAGCTGAGACGTTTGACTATTTCCGAAGTCAGTGCTGATCGATATTATTTCGGTTGCACGATAGTGAAAATGAATTTAGTCACTATTAATTATTTAGTCACCTTGTAAATGTCATGTAATGCAATTCATTCTAGTTTCAAGTTTCTAAGCGTCGTTATATGTCTGAATCAATGGCCTATATGTTACTCAAATTTCTTATATCCAAGGTGACTAAAATAACACTATGAGGATGTTTTAATAAAAAAAACAGTCGTCTTGGAAACCTCATCAAATACGCGCATAATGCGCAATTGGATACTCATGAAAAAAGGATAAAAGTAGGTCAACCCAATAAGCCTTTGAAAGGCTCATTTCGAAAGAAATATTGGCCTTGGTTGTATTGTGTGAGAGCACAAGAGGGTATAAAGATACAAACGAGATTGGATTCTTATTGTCTTATTTTAAAGATATCCTCTTTCATGCTTAAAGTCTGTACCCATGGTAACTTTCCATAGAATTAACACTGACATTGTTCAAATAAATCACAGTTGAGATCCCTTCCGTTGGCCCATCCCATTACACTTCAACCTTGGCCTTTGTGTAAACTGACACAGCTCCCGCTCTTTCGACTAAAAGGGTACCGCTGCTCGAATGCACAGCCGCAATTGAACAGTTGGACCAAAGTCATCGGGTGACATGAACCCAGTCTATCTACAGCCACAATAGTATCGTGTGCAAAAAGGGAATTCCATTGTGACGTAATCATGTCACGTGGTACGTTTGCTTGCTAATATGGCGGCGATCAAAGACGAGTTTTTATTATGTAACATGCCGACATGTCTAATCCTCAGGATCATTTTCTTCGCCCCCAACCCCCCCTCGCCGATTATGTAACTTCCTTTCTCCTAAGAGCAATCAAGCATGAACTATTTGAAACAGACAAGGGAATTCTACACAACAGAGGGAAGGGCAGTTTTCAAACCTCTCGCACACAAACATGTGGAAACGGTTGTTCATCGATCGCACTTTGAGCGGCTCCTTACAGAGTTACTTCCCTTGGAAATATGACTAACAAAGCGACAAATCCATTCCATATCCAATAGAATTATCTGCATAAAGCAGAGTCGATTGTACGATTCCGACTATATCATGAGCATATGTTTATGAATCACTATCAAATGGTAATCATACCAGGTTGCAGCTACATAGACTGGTACCCTGTCCTTCGTATCCTAGCGGCTGCACAAAGAGTGCAGTGCGGCGAGGAGCGCAAGCGCCATAGGGCAGTAAAACCAGTATAGCTGCAACACGCTTGCAGTGAAAATTGCGAGTTTCTAGCTCATGTTTTGTAACGAACCTTCGCTCCCACAACATGGGTTGCACGTAGAAACACATTTGTATCATTTGAATTTGTACATCACGTTTATATTCGGCTAAGTCATGCAGTATGTGTCATTAACATTTACACCCATGCATTTCAATACTGTTATGTCGCACCATGTGACCACATAATCACTTAATCTATATTTGGTCTATTCACATAAGTCATATGATGATGTCAATACTGAGTCTATATATCGATTTCTTTTCACACTATGACTTCCACACAACTAATCCATAGATCGTTTGGTTTTTTTCAGTTTATGTGACCATGTACTACCTATACCTATATATATGCTATATATATGCTTGCATTTTTATCACATAGGATATGTGGCCATGTGACTACCTAGTCTAGATATTGTTTTATCGTGTCGCGTCCATGGCCACAAGTGACCTTGTCGCTATAACATTTTTTAACACCCAGCTAGGGAAGACTGGCAAGATCCCAGTTAATATGACCTGACTGATTGTCTTCTGTGTACAAGCTATACGTGCGTCATTGCTCACGTTATAGTTACTGCCTTTTGCCACTCAGGTTCCCTCCATGGTGAAATAGTTGTAGTATTGCTTGCTATCGTTCCCGTAGGGATTCCGTGGCCCCTTTGCTTCTGTCACATATTGCTCACTGCCGCCGAAAACTACCTCACTCGCCCACATCAAATGTATATCCAAGTTTCACCGAGATTGTCTCCCGATCTAACACTGGCATGGAGTTTTCAAACTTTTGCAAGACATGTAGAAGTTGGTTTGATGAACAAGGGAGATAGTTCTATGGATATACAAGTTGTATATCTATAAAACTATTTGCATTGTTCATGTAGTAATATTTGTCTGTTCGCTGGCGTTGTCGCAATCTCATGGGGAGGCTGTCGGTATTAATTAATTGCTTTTGTTTTGTATTCGAGCCTCAAGAGTATGCAAACTTCATGACCAATAAAATAATTCTGAAAAAAAAGCATTTCCCATTCCGTGCATGTTTATCAGTGAGGTAGTATTATACGTTTTAAATTGTATTTCTTCACTTCTTACGTATACTGTGGGTACAGGTGCATGTCAAGATGGTTAAACTACATCAGGCAACTTTGGATGTAACTGGAAATATAATGTAATTTGTCAATACCGATCTACCCCAAGCAGCCGAAGATGGGAATGACATTATGTATTCAATGTATATTCTATTCTATCTTATTCAAAATAAAATAAACATGCATATCCTTCTCTTTATGCATAAATGGAACCTATGCAAGGGGTACAAAAAAGGTACCTGTCACCTCGATTTGTTACATTACTTGAAAGAAAGAAAATATTTATTTTACTTAGAATAAAATAGAATAAATTGTTATGGTCCACGGTATCTGCGTTTCGCCTTGTACTTCACTCGGGTCGTGCGCAAAATGCTGTATTTCTTGTTTCACTGCGCAGATTATGCGTCAAGTGGTGGAAGGGAGGTAATTCTGTCAAATAATTCAATGCACCAGTAATATTGATTATGTTAGATAAAACGTTGAACGAGTTTAAACACGTCTACAAATCAACCTCTTTCCTAGTGATCGCATGTATGTTTGCGGGGTGTTGAAACCTGTGGAATTGTTATTAGCTAGTGGTGCTGATGTGATAGCGGATATACTTTCCTGCAAAACATTACATCATGGTATAAAGCCACTTTACCCTTTTCATATCCAATAGAAATCTCTGCATAAAGCTGAGTTGATAGCACGATTCCGACAATATCATGATCAAGTGTTTTTGAATCACTATCAAACGGAATCTTTTTGGGCTAGCTATGTTTTCAATACGACACAAAGAAAGATTCTGTAATAAAATGACTCGAACAAACTTCATTAGAGATTGTCATTTAAAATTCGATCTCTCATCACAGTTAAAAAACAATAACCATTAACATAAATAAACTGTAATGTTACAATATCAATAGCTATGAAAACGGTAAATCACGAACAGTTGCATATTATGTCCCTTTCTTGCTTCCAAATGTTCAGCTTAAAGTTACTCATGAAAGCAAAAGAAACTCCCCCAAAATAAGTTCCATTGTGTAAAAAAACCCACATTTATCCAAGTGGTGATTCACCTGTCATCGAATGTGTTTCACTGACTAGATATTAACTATTACTGAAATCAAAGTGTGTGACATTTCTTTTGTTACATTCCTGAATGTATTTTAAAAATGGCAATATTTGGTTTCAATATATTTCTGATATATCATTTGTTTCTAAATTTGAAAAATTGTGTTTATTTCTACGAGTGAGTGAGTTAAAATTTAACGACGCATCAGCATTATTCAGGCCAGAAATCGACGAGGATTTTGTAAGACGTCGGCCGTGATCAGTGTATTTTTTTTCTAAATGGGAGCTCAAGGGGATAAGGAATAATGGGTAATAAAGACAATATTTCACTTGCACGTGTTATACTGATTGTACGAAACTCGTGTTAGAGTCCATGTATTACCCTCGCTCTAACCCAGGAAATACAAGAGTTCGTTTCGTAAAATGAATATGACATACATGATAATCTCGATTTTGCACACTCGCATGAGTGTCATGTGCCGATTTTACGAATTTCGTGTAAGAAGTCGCTCTCGCTCGGGAAATACAAGAATTCTGTCACCCACTACGTAAAATCAGTTACACGCATGTTCTTATAATAATGTTTATATATAACGTACAAGACGCATGTCTAAAGCAACAACAGTTATTTACTCTTTGCTGGGTATTATTCATTGAATGAATCATCCGGAACTCAAGGCCAACCGCTGTTGGGGCCGGTTTGAACAGTTTCAGTGAGATTGGTTTAGATAGGTCATGATTCAAATAACACCTCAAATTTACGTGAAGTAAGTCAGATATATTTATGTCGCAAGTGTGACTTGACTATCATATTAAATTATCACAATTATTTATGAGTGAAATGAACTTGGTAAGTACGTTTAGTAACGATTTCACTGCGCAGTTGAAATCGATGCGGGATTCTCAAACTGGAAAGCTACTGTACAGATTTCAACTTGTGACGTATAACGCGTTTTGTCGCTGTTCTGTCTTTTCCAGTGAAGGGCATTGTGGGATAGGCAAGCAATTTCGTTTTAAGTTCTTCACGGGCAGACATTTTGACAGTTTACAGACACAATGAGCAGAGGATTCGACCGTCAGGATAGGAGAAGGGGTGGAGGATTTGGCGGTGATGGTCTTGGTGGACAAGATAGTTACGGTGGACGACGAGAAGGAGGTTATGGCGGAGGAAGAGATGGAGGAGGTTATGGCGGAGGACGTGATAATTATGGCGGAGGCCGTGATGGCGGCCGAGGAGGCTACAATGATGGTGGTTCATATCAATCGAACTGGAACAGTCCAAACGCTGGACAAACAGACGTTTACGTACACCAGTCAATTGTCGGCAGAATAATCGGTTAGCATGCTAAATTATTGTTCATTTGTGGGTTTCCTTCTTTGTCTTGAGTTTCAGGGTGTTCTCGACTTGAAAATGTGCGCGTCTCTGGGAACATGTCGGTCAGATTTTGGCGGCCATTGTTACATGGCTCAAATCAAGCCAAAGCAACTGACAAAGCTTCAGATCTCGAGATTTGCTAACAAACTGTTATGAAATTGTGTGGAATCAAATTGTCCGAGAGATTTTGGTTTGTTTTGTGATCATGTATGTTTCCGAACGCCTTTGCCTCGCTTTGAGCATGCAGTGCGAGACGAATCAAATCATGAACATGTGTTCGTGGGCCATGTGCTTTTGCAATGAATGTCCTCGTGCGGGTAAGTAAAGTGAATCCAAAGTTTCTCGTTAAGTTTTCTTTTCATAATCGATCTCATTTATTGTTACCATCATCCAATTTTGGATTTTGTGTCTTTGAATATTTTCGTTAATGAATTTAATCGATGTTAAGATAAATTGCGACTTAACAAACTTGAAACAGTTTTGTCATTAGTTTCCACCGTAATTCATTTTAAATCTCTAGTAATTCATTTTAATTGGCGAATATTTTTACACGAGAATAGTTTTGGGACACTTCAATGAAATTAATATTTATGGTATTTCTTAATTTTTTTTTCTTTTCAGTCACTAGGTCCTACTCCTTTGGACGCCATATATTAGGCAGTACCAAATTTGCTATTATTGGTCGTCATAGTATCTAAGGACCCTTGATGTTTAATTTATCATTGTAGTGTAAATAAGGATCCCTTTGTTCTATTTTCTTGCACTGCTTTTATAACTACCTTGGCAATTATCAATGTTTCAAAATTAAGAAAAATCAAGTCATTACTCAGTGGTAGAAACTAACATTTTTAGTCCACTCTTCCTTATGATAAAATGTAGTAAAAGACTTTGAAATGGCAAATTTCTACTAGTCCTTATGAAACCTTAACTATTGGGCAGTTTGGCAAGGACCACATGACTAGTGTCAGTTTCTAACGCTGTATGCTTTGGGGGGCCATTGTCAGAATTATCATGAATTTTTTCTTGAAACGAGTGCAACTTAACAATGTAGTCTCTTAAAGAGAGGGGTGGGGAGAAATCTATCACTTGCACTTGGGAGTCTTGGGAGTTAAATCTCAGGTAAGTGGAAAGTGGGTTAATCACATTTAGGAACGGTTTCAGTCATAACAGCCATGTCACAATGGCTTCAAAATTCCAAAGTCAAAGACAGCCACAAAGGAAAGTCAGAATGGCCATGATAGGGATGATAATGTTGACATTTTTGGGTATATATATCTTTTATATATCTGCTAAGACATTATTTAATCCATGAGATGTTTTCAATCCTGTTAGCTTGTGACAATGCATGTTACAAAGATTTGCATGCAGAATAGCGATCTAGGTTATCAGCATGTTCTCAAACAATAAGACAGATATAGCAAGCCTACCTTAAACCAGTTTGCGATTATCTTGGAGAAAAATAAGTCTCGCACATGGTTATGATATAGAAGTTAATATATGATGTTACCTCTGTTGGTCCAATATGAGCATGCCAACATTCATCAAACACTGACCTAAACTGATACCAGTTTTTGCTAGAATGTGTAGAGTACACATTAGAGGTTCCTGTTGCAATGTACTCTCTTCCAGTAGAGTTCCCTTGTTTTAACCAATCTCCAACAAATTGCTTGGATCTCCGTACTTGGTGGCCATTTTGACTTTTTTTCTCGTGGCTATTTTGATGAAAGGTTTTGGCAGTTTTGACTTGATCTTTTGAGACCGTTTTAACCTGTTTCCTTTAGAAAGGTGTATTCAAAATAATTGTTGTAATATCTTCCATGAATATCTTATATTGTCATGAACAGGTAAGTTTTGGATTATTTCTTGAATCTTAAAGGTCCCATTAACTTTTGTTAGGGATACCAAGATCATGGAATTCCTAATAATAGGAATATCTATCAAAATTTGTCGAGGTCGAATGGTGGCATTCTCAAAATCATTATATATTTTATTGCAGCATTACTGTTATTATATTGTAAATGTCTCTTACTTTTGCAGGGAAAAAGGGTTCAAAAATTCGTGAACTGCAGGAAGGAAGTGGAGCTTTCATTAAAGTATGTTGAACTACAGGATTTTTGGAGGGCTTTTTTGGGATGCCACTATGAGGTATGCCATGTGTTATACATTAAAGGCACATGACTGGCACAGCGAAAGATGGAATCCCCTTAACTATTCATAGTTAAATGGTTAAATGAGTAACATTTTTATCAGTAAAACCTTAAGTAATTTCTATACAAAATATTGTAAAATGTCTCAATGATTTTAATGTTAATTTATATGAATGCTGGCCCAAAGCCAATTGATTATTTGTTTGCCCTACAGATTTGTTTGAAATGTTTTCTTAATGTTTCTGCACTTCTGGCAATAAAACGTAATGAACAAATAATCAGTTTGTTGAGGCCATATACATGTTTTTATGATATAAAACTGTCTTCTAATAATTGTTTTGACTACCAGAAAATTCAAACATGATAGTGTATTTCCAATATTGAAACCAAACGTTCAACTGACCAAAGACCATAAGAGCTTGTGGAAAGGGAAACACCTCCAGACACCCATTACCTTGTTTTCCTGGAAGGAAATTATTTGTGTTTGAACTAACATGACAGTCGGACGGGATATCAAGCTAAATATAAATTGACAAATGTCACATTAAATTTTATGCTACTTTCAAGTTGTGGAAGCTAAAAGATTAGCTGATAAGACTGAACATGGTTTGACTTGCGTGATGGTATTGGATTAGGACCACTTTTGTCAGGTTGATTAAAGTAAGTGGTTGAAGTAATACTGAATTTATGCTAAATTGCCATTTGATGTAATTTCTCATTTTTTGGGGCAGAATTGTTTTAGGTTTTGGGGGATAACTTATTAAATTTTATTTGTCAAATGTTGACATTTTGAAAACTAATTGTTATTTCTTGACAAATTAACTATGCATGTTGTAAGGCTCTTATCTGCAATCTATTATCATTGAGACACATCTGAAAGGAAAGTTTTAAAGACTGCTTGTTTAGCATTTTCACCTTCATGATAAGGTGCTGTGCTTTGACAGATCCTATTGATGGTGTCATGGATACTTTTGACGGCCTTGGTTGATGATTTGGTTTATAGTGTAGTGTGAACAGGTTATCATTACATGGTTTAGGTGTCATGAAATGCACAAGGAAACCTGTTTCTGATTATATTCGTGCTTTTGTTTCAGGTATACAGTGACCAGGTCGAGGCAGGAAAGGTTCGAATCATGTTGTCTGGAGACAGTGAAGCGAGGCAAATGGCAGCAGCAATGATCAGGGAACTGGAAGAGCCACAAGATGGGAATGGACGTAAGTTATTTTTAATAATCCTATGCCATGACGTTAGGACATGATACATAATTTGGAACTTTTGTGTGCCGATCCAATTCTGTCCCATGTGGCTGGGTTATTGCTAAACTTGGCTAGTTTAACAGTTGGTAGTTTATCAGGGATCTAAACAAGGCACCCACAAAACTTGTAAAATTGCATTGTCTGCCAAACTTCTGATCATATATATTCCATATTTTTCAGCTCAACGTCGACGCAACAATGCTTGCTACCAGTGCGGCCAAGATGGTCACTACGCCCGCGAGTGCACAGAGCAGCAGTATTAATCCATAGTGACATCTGCCTGGCACAGCCAAAGAAAATGCACCGTAAAAGTTATCACATTGAACACCATCCAAATCAAACTTGCTGAGCAACCTGTATTACTCAAGACCCTGTGTTTAATTTTTACGCATTTTATTTGACAAGAGCAATTGCTGCCACTTTGCTAATTATGCTAGGTTTGTAACATCTTTCAAAGCTTTTTAACAAAGTGATATTCATCACAAATTCATTTTGTAATTTTTTTTTCATTTTTTTAATGTTATTTTTTTTTTGTGTCCATTGAAATATGGAATCTCTTGGTATTCATGCGACTGTAAATCCATTCTCAAAAATAAAAAAATGTGATTTTTATTCAATCTTGTTCCTAGCTCATATGGGTCATAGATCCAAATGGGTTTTAAAGCCTAAAGCCTAATTCTGTTGCCTTGTAAATTCGTTTCAACAGCTTCGACATAATTTTGGGGGTGTAGGTAGTTATAATACTTATTTATTTACAGATTACATGGTTGGGAAACTGAACATCGGAGAGATCTTCATCTGTTATTTTTATAGTATTGGTATGCTATCCAGTATGTAAATTATGAAAAGCATAGTACCATACACATCAACTATCTATACAATGACAGATTCCAGATTATTGTCATACTTGTTCACATATTTTACTTGGCTGAACTTAATGTTTAAGGCAGTTGCAAGTAAAGGTTCATGGAATGTCATAAAACTTGAATATTATGTATTTAAATGTTGGTGAAACGTTTGTTAGTTCTAGGCAAGTGAAATTCCTAAATGGGCCAGTTTTTTCAATCTCAGTTTCAGTCTGAAGTGAACTGGATATGGCCAACTATGTTGAACAATCTTTATTCAAAATGTAAGAATCACAAAACAGAAGCTGAGGTTTGTGTAAATTATGAGCACTGCTCCTGAGCATCATGGTACTGCTCAGTTAAGAAAAGGACAAATGCCTTTCCAATCTCATTAAAATCCTATCTTTGAATCTCACTACTGCTGAAAAAAGATCTGAAGGCATCCAATAACGGTTCATGTCGGAACCATCTTTCAGAACCTCTCATAAGATCAGGAAGGTCACCGTTCTGTTTTCTACTGGAGCAACCTTGAACTCCAGGTATTCTGAAATACTGTTTCAGGCTGCTGACTCCCATCAAAATGGTATCTCGCTTCGATATAAATAAATATTTAAAACTAAAGACTTTTTGAAAGTGCCGTAAAGTTAGAGAAAGCTGCTCTCTCATTGGATTATGTCGACCTCTTGTTGGTCATTTCATTGGGTGGTCATAGTTTGAAGGGTCATACTGATGTGACCTGTAATGGGATGTACTTGGATCTATGTAGCAGTAGCGAGCATTAAGATCTTATGTTAATGAGATTTTCACATTTGTGACCCGTGAAGATCTGAGAAACAGGTCTTCAGCAACCATTGCTTGTAAAAGGCGACTGCTTGTCTTAAGAGGCGGCTTGAGGGATCGGGTGGTCAGACTCACTGACTTGGTTGATGCATGTCATCGTATCCTAATTGCACGACTTGGTGCTCATGTCAATCAGTGGATTGTCTGGTCCAGACTTGATTATTTACACACCACAGTGATAAAGCTGGAATGTTGCTGAGTGCGGCATCAAAAACAAAGAAACATCCAGATGAACTTCAAAATCCTCAGACTGGTCCTAGCTTCAGTTGACTTACCAGTCTTCTGAAAGTTGACATTTAGGCATTCTAACATTCGATTAAGGGCCATGCCTGCTATGAGTCTGCATGCACATTCACTGTGATGACCCCGTCTCCATTAAATCCATCACTCAACTTAGACACGTAGCAATATTTGCTGGCAGTGTTCAAAATTTGCTTCAAAGTTTTCAGCTCTATTATGCACAACTCTTTTGAGTAGTGTAGTTCAGAATTGATATTTTTTGGGCGGTCGGGCAGCCTAGTGGTTAAAGTGATCGCTCTTCACGTCAAAGACCTGGGTTCGATTCCCGACATGGGCACAATGTGTGAAGCCCATTTCTGGTGTCCCCCCGCCGTGATATTGCTGGAATATTGCTAAAAGCGGCGTAAAACCAAGCTCACTAACTCACTTGATATTTTTACACATCCCCAATCTCTCACTTTGCATTTTCTTCTTTCGATCCTATGCTTGAAACATGCATGAACAAAGTTCCAGCTTCTAAAAACAACTCATCTCTACACAACCAGCATCAACATGGTTACAACTCAATCAAATGGGTGCTGCAAGTTATCGTTGCATTTCAACCTACCTACTTAGCATAGCTATTCCCCTCTACGTCAAGGGGAATGGGAGAAAAAGATAGTCTCCAGTCTCCCCAGTTGAACTTTGAGGATGCTGGGATCCACGGCATGTCATCGACTGATGCACCTCCCAAACTTATGGTGACCTCGTCACACTCCCTCCAAAGCGTTTCTTTACTACTCAGGGTGGATGAGCTGAAATGAACGCATCTAGGGTCGACAACACTTTCTCTGATTCCCTCTCGTCTTCATTCTCCCAAATTTCCATCTAATGCATTGGTTTGTTGTTCAGTTCTGATCCAAGACATGGTTACAGCGATTCTCGACCACATCTCTTCATGCAGTCCCCCAGGGGAGTTCTCCAGCATTGTACTTGGGATTGTCAGTTTAAAGCCCCCTTGTACAGTAATGTACCACACATATTTACATATTTAATGACCAATTAAAATGTTCCTGATTCATTGATACACATGGTCATTAACCATAAAAGCAATCCAATCTCCATCATTCCAACTTGTACACCAATTGATAGTTTCCTGAAATTTATCAACAGCATTCAAAACACATGGTATTCTCCCCATTAAGGTGGTTCAAGATAAGTTGTCTGTAATGTAATGACATTCACACTATAGTGGAGCTTTAAGGCAATCAGGATGTCCATCACCACTGTACAAGAATGGAAAGTTATAAACTTGCTCAGGTAAAATGGCTATAGTTGACCAGAAAAACATTGATTTTGTTAAGTTAAGCGACCAAGATTTTATGACCTTCAGTGACTTAAGCTAAAGATCAACAACTGATGTCAAAAGACAAATGGTGAGGTCTTTATGTGTTTGGTCTCCAGAACATCAGCAAAAGTCCCTACAGGTAGTTACTTTGAGACCTTAGTTTTTTTTACGAGTGAGTGTGCTGCAAATCAACATTGTGTGTCAGTAAACATGATTGTGGATTCAAATTCCACTTTTACCCTCAATGTTTTTATCCCCCCGGCGTATAATGCGGGGGGATATAGTGATCAGCCAGTCTGTCTGTCTGTCCATCCGTAATCATTTCCTTTTCCGGGGCAGAATTTGAAAACCATTCATTGTAATTGCTCGAAACTTGGCAATTTATCAGGCACATACTGAAGTGGTGCCTTTTGATATTTTGGGATTTTTGTAATTTTTATTTTTTTAAATTTTTATGGAATGAAGTTGGACATAGACTCAATTGGGGATGGGGTTTGTTTCCGGGGCAGAATTCGAAAACCATTCAGTGTATTTGAACGAAACTTGGCAAATTTATCAGGCACATACTGAAGTGGTGCCTTTTGATATTTTGGGATTTTTGTAATTTTTATTTTTTAAAATTTGTATGGAATGAAGTTGGACATAGGCTTAATTGGGGATGGGGTTTGTTTCCGGGACAGATTTCGAAACCATTCAGTGTATTTGTTTGAAACTTGGCAAAGCTATCAGGCCAGACCGAAGTGGTGCCTTTTGATATTTTTTTTACGAATTTTTATTTTTTACAATTCTTATGGAAAGAAGTTGGACCTAGACTCCATTGGGGAACGGGTTCGTTTCCGGGCCAGAATTCGAAAACCATTCAGTGGGTAAACAATGTATGCTTCTCAAAGAACATTCAACTGTTGACTCATTACATACAGAATTGCACATTTACTAGTGGTTACTTTACAGACAGCTGCCGGGGGGATATGTCATCTTTCTGATGACTCTTGTTTTTGTAGTTCTTTAGGCACCATATCTGCTCTTCAAGGTTATACGAAAGGGGAAAATGTGTAAGTAAATCTGCATCACTTACTGCCTTCCTCAAATTTGAGGGGGCAAAGGTGGCCCAGTCGTCTAAGGTGCCGCGATTCGCTGTGCAGAGTTGCGTCCCTTGGGCACGCCAGAAATCTATGATTGTGGGTTCGAATCCTGGTTCGCCCCAATTATGTTTCTAGGTTCGTCAGCACCATACCCATGCTCGTGGGTTTCACCGAAGTGGTAAACGTCTTAGACCTGCATCACTTCGGGCTTTCCTCCCACATTAAGCTGACACGCTGTGATATAACTGGAATAATGTTAAAAGCGGTCAAACCCAACTCACTCCTCCAATTTGAGCCAATGTTCGGGCATGCAACACACACAAATATTGTTCAAAGCTGTAATAACCAAACTCGCTCACTAAAAGGCCTTCTTTTGTTAGTTGTTTTTCGAAATAGTTTGCCTGTAATGCTATGTAGGTGGTCGAAAGTATATATTTATTGAATGCAACTTCCAGAGAAGTACTGCTATTAATGAATGGAAAACAAACTCTTAAGTCACACCATGTCAAAAGTATGAATGCAAACAAGAAAGATTGATTTTATGTTTTGGGTAAGAATAAAGATTTTCTATGTATGAGTCACCATTTCTTATAAACGCCGGTGATAATATCTCACATGTTATTTCACCTAATTTTAAAACCGAGTCCAATTTTTTTGTTTGAAAAGTCATTTGATTATACACAGAACTTCCTTATGGCTGGCTGCACTCACACACGGGTAAGATGGGGGCTTGGAGGCCCTCTACTACTTAACTTGTGACTTTTCTATATGTCCAGTTCAGACAGGAGGCCTATCTTAAAGCATGGACTTTTCTGCCAGCATCCTTATTTTCTGAATTCAAGAAAGGAGCAGGTGCCTCATTCAAGATATTCAAGTGGCCAGTTCTGGACAATCGTGAGTGCACAGACTTGTGTGATCGGCCTGTTATTTAATGTTGCTGCTGCATATTTGACCCATTGTCTTTATGATTGAAAACTTAAAACCCTGTGTTTCAATATAGTTTTTTGATTGTTCATTGATCTATAGTTAGTTAGTTGTGTATGTGTATGTATGGAGTCCTGGTTTTACCTTCACATTTCAACTTGGGAGTATAGTCAGTGTACTCGGGGCACTCATCCAGGATCTGAATCAAATTTGCTGAAAAATAAATTTTGGAAGTAAATTCTTTCAGTGTTCAATTTGCCAGTTTTCAGTCTATCCTCATAGTTTTACACAGTTTTATATTGAAATCAGTACCTAAAACTTGGAGCTTGAAACATTAGTTAAGTTTCCAGGTAA